ACCCAAACTTAAATTTTTTGAGCACACATTTTTAATGTTTGCTATTTTAACAAGTCGTATGTATTTCGTGCTTTCCTGCTGTTATATAATTAGACATTTTAACAGTTTCTTGGAGGACAGTGGCCACAGACTCCCTGAAGCTTCCAATACTCATATGTGAGTGAGTTTGGGATGTAAGATGCATTTTCTGACAGAAAAAATGTAATTAGTGATGATTGCCTTTTCAGTCTCACCCAGACAATCCCACTCAGTTCCTTCTTTATTCCCAGCTACAGCAGTGGCCTTTTACTTATTTCTGACCCCATGGATAAGACTGTTCTCTGGAAAAAAAAATCCAAGCTCCACATGAGTTTTTAAGATTGCCTTTTGGCAGAGACTGAATGTTCCTTGAGGCGAATGGTAGGACAGTGAGACCTTAGAAATATCTCAATACAGGCTAAGTACACACCGGAGCTTCTCTTCTGGTAATGATGAACTTAGGAATTCAAGGATGAAAGTAAAATGAGAATATTTTCAGCTAAACAAAAACAGAGGGTGTTTACTACCATAAGATCTGTAGGAAAGGAAACTTTAGGTAAGCACTATCCAATAGAACTTTTGAAGATGATGACAATGTTCTCTATATTTGCTGTTGCAGTAGCCATTAGACACTTGTGGCTAATGAGCACTTGAAATGTGTCTCTAATGAGACCACGGAACTGAATTTTAAATTTTATTCAATTTTACTTACTTTACATTTAAATTGTCCCATGTGACTGGTGGCTACCATATTAGACAGTGTAGCCTAAAATAACATACTTCAGGTAAAAGGAAAATGATCCCAGATAGAAGGTATAGATTTAAGAAGAAATAAAGCACAAAGAAGATACTAAATATATGGGCAAAAGTAAGTTAACATTCATGCAGTAAAATAATAGTATTATCATATAGTTTTGAAAGTATATGAAATTAAAATATATGACAGTGGAAGCATATACATTGGATGAAGTTGAGGGAAATGGAATTTTGTCATCCTTGGATTGTCTGAGGGGAAGATAATGTTATTCATTAGAATTAGTCTTTTATAATTTAAGGATATATGGGGTTATTTCTAGGATAAGCACTAAAAGAATAGAAAATAAGTATATAAATTTCAAACTAGTGAGGGAGAGAAATGGAATGACGAAAAATATTCAAATCAAAAGAAAGCAAGAAGAGAGAGAAGAAACAGAATAGGAGTAATGAATATAAAGCACCATAACATTGGTAGGGTTTAAAAATTATTATTTATTTTAAAGATTTTATTTATTTATTTATTTGACACAGAGAGAAAAAGAGAGCGAGAGAGCAGAAGCAGGGGGAGCAACAGGTAGAGGGAGAAGTGGGCTTCCTGCTGGGCAGGGAGCCTGATGTGAGGCTTGATCCCAGGACCCTAGGAACCCTAACCTAAGCTGGGCCCATAAGACAGATCCTTAACTGACTGAGCCACTCAGGTGCCCCAGTGGTAGGTTTTTAAACCCAAATGCTCTGTTTCATTGATCTTAAGACACATATTTACTCATATATTTACATTTCTGAAATTGGGAAGCATGTGGTAGACTATGGCATCACATGAGCTCTACTGTGTCAGACCCCCCTTTGTTTGTCATCAGTTGAGTTTTGTGGATCATTATTATTACATGTATTGAGTTTAATTTCTGTTGAAAATGTTCCAAAAGATGCCCTCTGACTTGCATGAAACCGAGTAGTAGGAAAAGAGGTAATATTAGTGAAGCAATTCCTTTTTTTTGGATGAAGGTCTGTTTCTGAGATATGTGCAGTATAAAACAGGAGAAATTGCCAAATCCTTTGGAATTGAAGAAAAAAACTTTGATGCAAGGAGAAGCAGGTGTGATCAATTTATACACTTCATAGTGCCATTGTTGAGATGCCATGTCATGGTTTAATTGGTGGTGTTTATCTTTATTGATCTATAAAATATTGATGTGGCAAATGATCCAGGATGTTTTAGAGTTGACATAAGTGGTTTATATGATAAGCCTGGTTACACAATGCAAACAGAATCCAATTACATGCTGTTTGCAAGAGATTCATCTAAAACATAAGGGTGGAGGAGGTGGAAAGGAAAAGGACGGGAAAAGATGTGCCACATAAATACTAATTCAAAGAAGCCATCTATATCTGACAAAGTAAACTTTGAGACAATAAACATTCTAAGAGATAAAGAGGGTCTGTCCTTAGGTATAAAAATCTCAGATCACCAGAGAGATATAAAAAATAGAAGTTTATATGCACCTAATTAACATGGCTTCAGAATATATAATGCCAAAATAGAGACCAAAATAATATGTCTGTGGCATAGTAGGAGATCTTAATATACCTCTTACATAATTGATAGAACAAGATGACAAAAAGTGGGATGCCTGGGTGGCTCAGCGGTTAAGCGTCTGCCTTTGGCTCAGGTCGTGATCCTGGAGTCCCGGGATCGAGTTCCACATCGGGCTTCTGCATGGAGCCTGCTTCTTCCTCTGACTGTGTCTCTGTGTCTCTCATGAATAAATAAATTTTAAAAAGACTCAATTAAAAAAAAGATGACAAAAAACCCGCTGAGGATAGAGAACATCTGCTCAATAGAATTAATACATCTTTCTTCTTGCTCATGGTCAGGTGTATTATACTATACATAACATCTGCCGAATATATATCAATATATATCAAACATTTACATACAGACATTGGTGGGAAAATGTAAGGTTGAAATGAGCAAATTGGTAGTCAGGAGATGTTAGTTAGTTAATAGCAACACTAATAAAAGGGATTGCAACCATCCCTTTACTGACTTCCAAAAATTTCTTACAGCAAACATGAAATTACATAATTTCCTCTACTTTCTTACTCTGCATTCTGTTCTGGATTCTGTCCTACTCACTGCTTAACACTGTGGTTTCTTAAAAGTTGCCAGTCTTCTGAACCTCATGCCCGTGATGAAGCTGCTGCTATTTGCTGATAGGGCTCTCAGATGCTGGCTGGATGCTCAGCCGGATATGTGGCTACCACCTGACCTGGATTCCTTATTGTTATGCTCCTGCCATCTGTTAGGGCTTGGTGCTACCTATGTGGGACTCACTCCCATCTTCCTTCACCAAATGCTTGCAGAGACAGGGTATTCCCATGCTCCCTTGGACACTGTGCTCTGAACACCAGACTGAATATCTCCTGTGGGCATCTGCAACTGGGTTTGTTCCCCTAGCCCTGTGCAGCTTCTCCGGAATGGCTAGTTCTAGAGTAGAGAATGCACTGTGCTATCCCTCCTGCTCTGTATGTGTGGACAACTCATGAGAAGTGCTAGCATCCTATGGTGATGCAGGATGTAGGAATCAAACCAATTTCAAAATTGCATTCCAATTCTTTGACTGTTGGACAACAGAATTTATATTCAGTTCGGTTTCCCATTTTTTTAATTTCATATTTTCCTTCAAAATCTCATCCCCATCCCAGAGGCTTATCAAAAAATTCTCCAAAGATCTCTCTTTATTAGGCATTTAACAGACAAATTAGAGATTTTTATTCCTGCTATCAAGTGAATAACATTTTTCAGATCTTTAGACCAATAATGAAATACCTTCTATCAATTAAAAATAATGTTATAGAAAAGTATTGATGAGATGAAATGATATATGAGACATTGGGGCACCTGACTGGCTCAGTCAGTAGAGCATGTGACCCTTAATCTCAGGGTCATGAGTTAAAACCCTACATTGGGCATGGAGCCTACCTATAAAATAAAAAAGAGAGAGAGAGAGACAGAGAGTAAGAGATACCATCTGAAGTAGAAAAGGTGGGATAGAGCACTGGGTGTTTTACTACATGTTGGCAAATTGAATTTAAATAAAATTTTAAAATAGAAAAGGCAGGATACATTGTAAATAGGAAATGATGTTACCAAATAATTTTTAAAGACACATTCCTATATTTGTCTGTTATGTAGATGTGCGCATGAAAGATCTGAAGATAAGACCCTAGTCTTAGTCTTTGAAAGATGGAGCTGGTATGTTCTCAGAAACACCTGGGCTGCCTGGAACTCGGTGTGTGATCTTGGGGAAATTGCATAGCCTTTATAAACTGCACTGCCTTTTACAGTGGAAGCTGGGAGGACAGCACCCAGACCCAGGATGAGCACAGGATTAAGGGAGTTAAGTAATGCAGTGGGTTTAGCTCAGCCTGGCACACTGAGAGTGAGCAGTAGACTGCTGTGGCTGTTGCTCTTGCTCCTGTGCTGTTGTGCTGCTGCTGCTGCCCCAGCAGCTGTGATCTTACTTGGTCATGTGGATTTTCCTCTGAATGGACCAGCTGTTTTTAGCATTGGAAAGCACAAGCGTACTTGTCAAATGACAAGAGCAAATGCAATGCAAAATACAAAATGAAAAAAAAAAAAGAAGTAAAGCAAGTAAATAGCCAACAGGCTATAGGGAGAAGCCAGTTCTTGGTGAGCTTGATCAAGAAAGGTCCCTTGGGGGTGTGTTGCATGTCACCATTGAAGAAGAGTGAACCAAGAAGAGGTGGATGGGGGTATCAGTGATGTCCTGGAGTGCTCCTTAAGGAGAGATGAAAGGAGGATATTTTCCTCTGGGATGTGAGTCCCCACCGAACTGAACTCTGAGACTGGAGTAAAGAACCAGCATAAGAACAGGGATTCACCTGCTCCTCCCCAGGCTCAGTGTCCAGCTCAGACCCTGTGTCTCCCCTTTCTTTTCATTCATGTTTCTTTCCTACACCCTCGCTGTCAGACTAGACTGGCAACCACCCAGTCTGTCTTAAGTGCCTTGAAATGTGTTGAATGGATGTGGCATAGTCCTTGGCAGAGTGACACTACTCCACAGGAATTTGTTTATTCCTTGGTGTAGGACATAGCAGGTAATGAGTATGACTGATAATCTAAGATGTTGTTTATTACTGGATAAAGGAATGTTACTGTTACATTTGCATATACACTCCCAAACCGATTCTTTAAAATAAGGACCAGATCTGGCCCCTCCATATCAGAGATCCTAAAGGGAGAAGACAAGCTGAGCTCCAGGAACCAGAACTTGGGGATCCTTGGCTCAGGTAAGTGGTACTGACTCCAGCTTAAGAGGCCAACTGACATGAATGGGGAAGCAGAACGGCATCTGGCCCTGCCTACCTTTTTTCCCAGAAGCATGACCTTCTATGAATTTCCTGAATTTCTAAATATTATCTCTGATGCCTGGCCAGAACACCTTGCTCTCAGCCCCCAGAGCAGCCTGATGTCTTCTTGGAGGGCTTCTGCCAATAAGCAGAGCATTACCGAAGAGCCAGGTAGACAATGGAGAGCTTAGGAAACCTGGAAACCCTGATAATGCTAGCCTTCTCTGATTTCAGATTCTAGGCAAGACTGGTTTTAGAATCTAGAAAGTACTGGTCTTCAGAAAAAATATTTTGGAACCCTCTACATTTTGAGTTTTCTTAGGTGAAAAAAGAGCTATCTCAGATGGCTGAGTGTACTGCTTCTCTAGGGAGCTTTGTGGAAACCACCTGCATTTATTTTTTTATGGCAAATTCCATAGTGGCTCATGGAGATATCCTATGTGCTCCAGCCTGTGGGCATCATTCTGTCCTCACCACTGCCTTCATGTATTTGAGAAACTATATTTCTGCTAGATATGTCTTTTTCTGATCATGTGGCTGCCAAATTCTCTGCCTTCTAGATTTAGGGGTTGCAGCCAAGTAACAACTGAAACTCAAATAGTGGCTGTCCATGCCCTTAAAGATCTATCAGGTGTCTCACCCTCCTTGAACCATTCAGTGATCATCCACCCCTCTCCTTCCCTGCCTTTGATGCCAAGCCCTTGAGCTCTTCCTTGCTATTTTTAATTTTTGCAAAACTAGTTAGTTCCCTTTGTCTCACTCCTAAGTCCTTCTCAAAGGATTGGGTTTCCACATAAACTGCCCATCTCTGCAAACTTAAGAGTTTTGTGACCTCTGAGAATTCACTTACCTTCAGGTCATCTGTAAAATGGAAATACTAATTTTTGCCTCACTTCCCTCACTGTGTTGTCCTGAACTAACGTTGGGGAAAGTTCTTCATGAACTGAGGAGTGTTTAGAAATCTCTCTCCTCCAAGCCACACTCATCCCCTCCAGCGAAGAAATCTTGTGTTGTTAGGAGTTGAGCCTCCTACGAACTTGGAGGCTCAGTTTTCCATGAAGAGAGGCTGCAAAGAAACTGCCTTTCTCTGCAAAGATTAGACTACAGCAGAGGGTCAGCAAACTTTTTCTGTGAAGATTGGAATAGTCAGCATTTTAGGCTTTGCTCACCAGAAGATCTCCATTTCAAATACTCGTTCTGCTGTTGAAGCTAGAAAGCAGCCACAGACAATATGTAAAAAAGGACATAGCTATGTTCCAATAAAACTTTATTTAAAAAAAAAAACAGGCAGTGGGACATATTTGGCCTGTGGGCTGTAGTTTGCCAACCCTAGGACTGGCACAATACACTTTGAAATTCCTATTTCATTTTTATAAAGTGTCAAGATTTGTAAAAATGATATTGTGACCTACAGTTTGCAAAACATTGCTTTGGAGGGGCAAAAACCAAAGGAGTGGTAGAAGAGGCATGGTCCAGCTCTACAAGGACACAAAACATTTCTAAGCAGAGAGCAAGGCTGATGACCCATTCAGCACTAGGGGAGTCCAGCAAGGTTTCCTGGGGTCAGAGATCAGTAGACTGATCTCCTTCCTGTCTACTTAGGTCCTGCCCTTCATCCCAGGCTCCTGTTGAGTCATTTCATCACGTTAAAAATGTCATTTTTGGAGGACTCAGGAATGAAGATGGAATCTGAAGACTGGGAAAGAGATGAGCCCCATGGCTGCTCAGAAGGTAAGATTCTTGCAACTATCCATAAAGAGCCAAAAAATAACTCCTAAAGTAAGACCTTGTGAGGTCTGTGCACAGACTTGTTCTTCCCCGTTGACCTTGCATGGTAAGTGACCTTTGAGAATTTCCCTGGTAAATGAATTTGACAAGAGAAATCCTTGAAGGGAAATGAAACTTTGCCACTGGTGTACAGGTACATAGGGTGGTTAGATACACAGATCACCTTGATCCAAAGATCTAGAACTTTGAAGTCTTGATTCACCAACTGGATGGCTCTGAATCCTTGAAATGCATCCTTTTTCCTCCCAGCCTGCTCAGGCAGAGGAGAAAGCCAAGTGGTGGGAGGGATTGTCTGAGTCTGGGATGGGAAATGACCCTGGCTCAGGACTTCTGAGTGCCCCAGGGAGGAAGGCACTTGAGCATTGGCTCAAGGGGGATGAAAAGAGGAGGCTTTTAACCTAAATGACTAATGCATGGAGTGTGAAGGGAGAGGCCTGTAACTTGACAGAGGCCCAGCCCCTGAGCCTTCAACTCACACATGGCAATCAGAGTTCCCAAATTAAAAATAGGACATTTGTGTAACAAATGTGGATCTGCCAACAGAGAGGTTTGGAACCAGCCCTATGCCTGGAATATGGGCCATGTGGTGGCTGTAAAGCACATTCTGTTCCTTAGGCAGCAGAAGTATGCACCAGGAAGGCACAAGCACCAGATACTGTAATTTCCCAACTCTGGAGAACTCCAAATGGTGACATTGAGGCCATGTCCTAATTCTGCCTCTGTTTGTTGGTGACATGTGTGGAAGGGGAAGAACCTTACGCTGGCTCCCAACAGAATCCTGAGGATTTCTGTCTGAAACAGGCCTGGGACAGCTCCACCTTCCCCCATCCTTTCTCACCAACGTGCAGTCCTCCTACTTCCTGGAAGCACAGACTGTCAGAGCTGGAGGGACAGACAGGGAAAACAAGCTCAGAGTGGTGAGAAGAAGAGTTGCTTTAGATAGTCAAGTAGTTAGGAAGGCCAAGACTATAGAATCTTTATACTAGAGCACAGGATTTGGGTTTTCTTCTTCCCTTGGTGCTATGTGCTTTTTTTTTTTTAAGATTTTATTTATTTATTCATGAGAGACAGAGAGAGAGAGAGAGGCAGAGACACAGGCAGAGGAAGAAGCAGGCTCCATGCAGGGAGCCCGATGTGGGACTCCATCGCAAGTCTCCAGGATCATGCCCTGGGCCAAAAGCGGTGCTAAACCACTGAGTCACCCCGGCTGCCCGGTACTATGTGCTCTTAATGTGCAAGGGTTGTTTGGATAATGGCCAGAGATTTCATTCGGGCATTTCTCAAACTTAATGTTTTATCAGGTAGTATCCTCCAGATTATTCTCAGAGTAATGTAGACAATGTATACTAAATCCTCTGAATTATTGCAACACATATAATTTAGGTTTTTTTAAATTTCAAGTTTTTATTTATTTTTTATTTATTTTTAATTTTTATTTTTTTAATTTTAATTTAATTTTTTTTATTGGAGTTCAATTTGCCAACATATAGCATAATACCCAGTGCTCATCCCATCAAGTGTCCCCCTCAGTGCCCGTCACCCAGGCACCAACACCCCCCACCCACCTCCCTTTCCACAACCCCTTGTTCGTTTCCCAGAGTTAGGAGTCTCTCTTGTTCTGTTACCCTCACTGATATTTCCCCCTCATTTTCTCTCCTTTCCCCTTTATTCCCTTTCACTATTTTTATATTCCCCAAATGAATGAGAACATATGTTTATCCTTCTCCAATTGACTTATTTCACTTAGCATAATACCTGCCACTTCTATCCACATCGAAGCAAATGGTAGGTATTTGTCCTTTCTAATGACTGAGTAATATTCCATTGTATACAGAGACCACATCTTCTTTATCCATTCGTCTTTTGATGGACACCGAGGCTCCTTCCACAGTTTGGGTATTGTGGACATTGCTGCTATAAACATTGGGGTGCAGGTGTCCCGGCATTTCACTGCATCTGTATCTTTGGGGTAAATCCCCAGCAGTGCAATTGCTGGCTCGCAGGGCAGGTCTATTTTTAACTCTTTGAGGAACCTCCACACAGTTTTCCAGAGTGGCTGCACCAGTTCACATTCCCACCAACAGTGCAAGAGGGTTCCCCTTTCTCCACATCCTCTCCAACATTTGTTGTTTCCTGCCTTGTTAATTTTCCCCATTCTCACTGCTGTGAGGTGGTATCTCATTGTGGTTTTGATTTGTATTTCCCTGATGGCCAGTGATGCAGAGCATTTTCTCATGTGCATGTTGGCCATGTCTATGTCTTCCTCTGTGAGATTTCTGTTCATGTCTTTTGCCCATTTCATGATTTGATCGTTTGTTTCTTTGCGTTGAGTTTAATAAGTTCTTTATAGATCTTGGATACTAGGCCTTTATCTGATAGGTCATTTGCAAATATCTTCTCCCATTCTGTAGGTTGTCTTTTAGTTTTGTTGACTGTTTCTTTTGCTGTGCAAAAGGTTCTTATCTTGATGAAGTCCCAATAATTCATTTTTGCTTTTGTTTCTCTTGCCTTCTTGTATGTGTCTTGCAAGAAGTTGCTGTGGCCAAGTTCAAAAAGGGTGTTGCCTGTGTTCTCCCCTAGGATTTTGATGGAATCTTGGTCTCATATTTAGATCTTTCATCCATTTTGGGTTTATCTTTGTATATGGTGCAAGAGAGTGATCTAGTTTCATTCTTCTGCATGTGGCTGTCCAATTTTCCCAGCACCATTTATTGAAGTTTTTATTTAAATTCTAGTTAACATATATAGTAAAATTGGTTTCAAGTATAGAATTTAGTGATTCATCACTTATATATAACACCCAGTGCTCATCACACAAGTGGCCTCCTTAATACCCATCACCCATCTAGCCCCTCCCCCACTTACCTCCCTTCATCAACCCTCAGTTTCTTTTCTATAGTTAAGAGTCTCCTACAGTTTGTTTCCCTCTCTCCCCCCCCAGCTTCCCTCCCCTATGTTCATCTGTTTTGTTTCTTAAATTCCACATATGAGTGAAATCATATGGTATTCTCCTTTCTCTGAATGACATTTCACTTAGCATAATACACTCTAGTTTTATCCATATCATTGCAAATGACAAGATTTCATTCTTTTTGATGGCTGAGTAATATTTCATTGTGTATGTATACCACATCTTCTTTATCCATTCATTAGTTGATGGACATTTGGGCTCTTTCCAAAATTTGGCTATTGTTGGTAATGCTGGTATAGACCTCAGGGTGCATGTGCCCATTTGAACCAGTATTTTTGTATCATTTGGATAAATACTTAGTAATGCAATTGCTGGATCATAGGGTAGTTCTATTTTTAGCTTTTTGAGGAAACTCTATACTGTTTTCCAGAGTGGCTGTACCAGTTTGCTTTACTCTACCTCCTTGCCAGCATCTGTTGTTTCTTGTGCTGTTTATTTTAGTCATTCTGACAGGCATGAGGTAGTATTTCATCATGGTTTTAATTTGTATTACCCTTGTGGTGAGTGATGTTGAGCATCTTTTCATGTTTCTGTTAGCCATCTATTCATGTCTTCTGCCCACTTTTTAGCTGAATTATTTATTTTTTGGGTGTTGAGTTTGGTAAGTTCTTTGTAGATTTTGGATACTAACCCTTTATCTGATATATTGTTTGCAAATATCTTCTCCCATTCTATAGGCTGCCTTTTAGTTTTGTTGATGGCTTCCTTTGCTGTGCAGAAGCTTTTTGTCTTGATAAAGTCCTAATGGTTCATTTTTGCTTTTGTTTCCCTTGCCTCTGGTGACATGTTAGTAAGAAGTTGCTATGGCTGAGGTCAAAGAGTTTGCTGCCTATATTCTCCTCTAGGATTTTGATGGTTTCCTTTCTCACATTTAAGTCTTTCATCCGTTTTGAATCTGTTTTTGTGTATAGTATAAGAAAGTGGTCCAGTTTCATTCTTCTGCCTGTTGCTGTCCAGTTTTCCCACTTCCATTTGTTGAAGAGATTATCTTTTCCATTGGATATTTTTTCCTGCTTTGTCAAAGATTAGTTGATCATATACCCATGCAGCCATTTCTTGGTTTTCTATTCTGTCCCATTGATCTATGTGTTTGTTTTTATGAATACATAGATTTTTAATAAGTCAGGACTCTAGCAATTTCCACATTCAGAAACTGAGTTAGTTCTATTTCATCTCCATTTCCACCATTTTTGGCCATGGAAATTTTTTTTTTTTGAGAGAGAGAGAGATGGAGAGAGAGCAAGAGAGAGCAAGAGAGAGCACATGGGCACAAACACAAGCAGGGGAACAGAAGGGGTGGGGCAGAAGGAGATGGAGAGAATCTTAAGCAGACTCCATGCTAAGCACAGGGCCTAGCGCAGGGCTTGATCTCATGATCCTGAGATCACCAAAACCAAGAGTAGGACACTCAACCAAATAAGCCATCCAGATGCCCCAACCATGATAACTATTTTTAATATTATTATTGTCTCTCTGCTTTAGTGTTCACAAAACACACACAAAAAGAAGTAAAGGGGATCCCTGGGTGGCTCAGCGGTTTAGCGCCTGCCTTTGGCCCAGGGCGCGATCCTGGAGACCTGGGGTCGAGTCCCATGTTGGGCTCCCTGCATGGAGCCTGCTCCTCCCTCTGCCTGTGTCTCTGCCTCTCTCTGTCTCTGTCTCTGTCTCTGTCTCTCTCTCTCTCTCTCTCTCTATGTCTATCATGAATAAATAAATAAAATCTTAAAAAAAAAGAAGTAAAGCATTCAATGACCTCTGATGTTAAATCCTTAGAACATCCCAATTGCATGTGTTAACCTCTTTGTCTCTGATTCCAGACTTGGCCAGAAGTCCCCTGGAGCCAGGCCCAAGCTTCACTTCCATAAGCTCTACCCACTCATGTAAGGCCCCTGGGTGAACAGATGAGGGTGGCTAAGTATTACTTATTTGAGTAAGCATGTTAATCTTCCCAACACCCATACCAGGTAGGTGCTATTGCTACACCTGTTTCACGGGTGAAGACATTGGGGTTTGGAGAGATTTGGTAACTTTTCCTAGGTCCCAAAAGCAGTAAGTGACAGAGATTAGATAGGATCCATCTGTGAAAATGGATAACCCATGTGCTTGCATGCATGCTGAATTGCTTGTCCAGAGCGAGGTAGAAAGCCTGGGGGCAGGGGAAATCTTCAGTGGGCTGTGATGTTTGAGGCCACAGGCAGGTGGAGAGTTGGGGCTGGGACACTTGCATGTGAGCTAGAAAGGACTGAGTTTTCCATTCTCAGTATGAAGTGTTGATATCTGATTATATTGATCTAGGCCCAAAAGTGAAAGTCTCAGACCCAGAGAAATTCAGCATTCATGACCAAGATCACAAAGTATTGGTCCTGGACTCCGACACCCTCAGAGCAGTTCCATTTAAAACCTACATACGCCCAGGTGACTGTCAGTCTTGGTTGTGTTTTCTGTCCTAACAGCCAGGTTAAGACCTTCCTGTAAGGGGCTTAGCTCAGCCTGTGGGACACCTCCAGTTCCTGCAGGTGTTAGATAAGTGGGCAGCACAGCAGAGGAACCCCAGGGACCATTAGGATTTGGATGGAGAGTTTGTAACAATGAACAAATCTGAGGGAAGCCTTTATGGAAGTGATGAAAGAAGGAAGCAGCCAGACAATGGAAGAAGAGGAGGCTTGGACTAGTGGAGGGGGACTTTCACCACAGAGTCATGCCTGAAACCCCAGAAGATAGAAGGGTCTCTTCCCTGCTCTGGGGACCGACAGGGAGGAGACATCAATCATGTTTCTGATTGTCTTTTTCCAGAGATGTTCTTTGTATTAGCCTCCTCCCTGAGCTCAGCCTCTAAGGAGAAAGGAAGTCCAATTCTTTTGGCAGTCTGTAAAGGAGAGCTTTGTCTCTGCTGTGAGAAGAACAAAAGACAAAGCCAACCATCTCTTCAGCTGAAGGTGAGCATTCTAGCCCAATTTCATTTACCCTCAGCCACCCCAAAGTGAAGGGCCAAGATCCTAATGCCTCTCACTTTCTACAAATTCTTATCTTGGTCAATATAACAGGGACATTCACCTTTCTGGAAGCATTGGGTAGGAGTTTCCTGCCCTACTATTTGATTCTGTGCTCCAAGAGCACACACGCTGGGTTTTCTCCCTCTCAGAGATTGTACTGTCTAATCTTTTACCTTGTAGAAGAAGAAACTTACCAACCTGGCTGCCCAGAAGGAATCAGCACGTCAGCCCTTCATCTTTTATAGGACTAAGGTGGGCTCCCAGAACAGATTGGAGTCAGCTGCCCATCCTGGATGGTTTATTTGTACCTCCTGCAATTCTGGTGAACCTGTTGGAGTGACAAATGTTCTTGGAAAAAGGAAACACACTGAGTTTTCATTTCACAGAGCTGAAACAAGTCCCAGTGAGGTTAGCGGGTAGGAAATTGCCCCATCAAATGCCTTCTTGTGCTTTCCTTTCTAACTCAGACCAATTATAGAAGGATACAGAATATACTTGCTAAGCTCTTTCATCTCTCATCAGTACTTTGAGAATTTGTGTCTTTAGGTCATTGAAAGAAGGATTAATTAAAGAGTTTTAGATGAAATAAAATTCTGGTTGGAATGATCCCAGCCTCTGCCTATTTATGGCTTACCCTGAAAAATCAGTCACTTAGAGCCTGTGTTATATTGCATGATTTGCCCAGACAGAGTCTGAACTTGCTGCAGAAAGTAGCAGTTAGCTGATGCTATGCTCTAGAATTAGCCATTCCTCCTGGGGTTTAACAGGCACTGGAGGAAGTTCACAGAAGTAGTTGTCTGTGTCTAGAACCCAGTATGACAAGAAGAAAAACACTAGCGAGTCACCATCTAGCAAAGTGATAAGTGGAAAAGGTTGAGGTGGGTCCCAGACAAGGAGCAGGTGACTTATAACGTGGGAGAAGCACAGAGATAAGGAATCTGGGTCAAGGGACAGTGAGGAGACCAGATGAGCAGCCAGTTGGCATGTGGGAAGTCTATCAACAAGGGCAAATTCCCATTGCTAAATTGGGCTCAGATTCTAGCAGAGTGATCGGCAGGTTGACTGAGCAAACAGAAATCTGGGGTGTGGAAGCAGGATATGGGATTGAGAGAGAAAGGTGGAGGCTTGGGACTTACTTGTCTACTGGTTATAAGCAACAATAATTGATTTAGGCATATTTAAGCAAAAAGTATACTAAAACAACAAGGAGGGCAGCCCGGGTGGCTCAGCAGTTTAGCGCCGCCTTTAGCCCAGGGCCTGATCCTGGAGACCTGGGATTGAGTCCCACGTCAGGCTCCCTGCATGGAGCCTGCTTGTGTCTCTGCCTCTCTCTCATTCTCTCTCTCTCTCTCTCTCTCTCTCTCTCATCAATCAATAAATAAAATATTTAAAAAAATAAAACAACAAGGAGCTTACTAGAAGGATATTGAGCATTTTAGTTTCTTATTGTTACTATAACAAATTACCATAAACTCAGTGGTTTAAAATGCAATTTATTATCTTATCTTTTAGAAGGTCAGTCTGAAGTGGGTCTCATTGGACTAAAATCAAGATGTAGGCAGGGCTGCATTTCTTCTAGAGGCTCCAGGGGATAATTAATTTCCTGCCTTTTCCAGCTCCTGGGGGCTACCTACATTCCCTGGCTTGTTGCCTTTTTCTCATATTCAGAGCCAGCAATGGCTGGTTAGGTCTTTCTCATGCTGCATCTCTTTGACCATTCTGCCTTCCTCTCACTCATAAGGACCCCTGTGATTACACTGCGCTCACCTGGATAATCCCCATCTCAAGATACTTAATTTAATCACACCTGCTGAGTCCCTTCTGACATGCAAGATATCACATTTACAGGTTCTGGGGATTAGGATGTGGACGTCTTTGGGGTCTATTATCCTGCCAAGCCCACGAAGGACATGCTGAAGAGCCAGAAATTTCTAATAGGTCAGAAATGACAGGAGCCTGTGGCTTTGGCCCCACCACTCAGATGAATGAGGACCAATCATGTTTTTCATCACTTAGCAAGAGATTCAGATTCCAAGTAGAGCACATGACTGCCTTAGTTTGGGTTATGTGTCTGTTCCCTATTTTGGATTATGTGTCTGTTCCTTGGTCAGTTAAAGGCAGTGCACCTTGATCAACACTCTCTCTGAGATATGTTTCCAGGGAGGCCAGTCAGGGTTCTCAAAGTCAAATTGGAGAGCTCAGCTCAAGAGAAAGGTGTGTAGGTGCCAGGCAGGAAGATAAACCTGAGTCTCCTGAGTCTCCTTATTTGTACCTAGAAATATGACACAAGCCCAGTCTCTGAGGGTTAAGGGAGACAAGGGCCAAGGGAAGACCTCTGACAAGGTCAGTTGCTTCTGTTTCTGATTTGATGATGATGTTGACCAATACCAGGCCAGTAATAAAAAAATATTTACTACTTTCAGTGTTTGAAAATTTGCCCAGGTAGTACTGATGCTTGGGTGGGGGTGAGGGGGCATGTCTTCCTCATAAGATCACAGAATCTGTTTCATAATCAACACAAAACTATTCATATTAGTCTCTGAGCCAGGGCTGTCCCATAGCAGTGCTCTGCTTCCTTATGGACCAGCTGAAAAGAGGTGAGGCTCACTGACCATGGCATTGAGGATGCCACTCATGTGGCCCAAATAGAGACAGCCATAGCATGGGCTCTGTCCTGCTTCAACCTGGTGATATATAGCAAGTCACTGTGACACTGGCCACCTGGGCTCTGTGAGGCTCCCCTGAGATCACAAATATATCTGCACCTTGCAGAAGCACAGGCCCTGTGTGCTGTTGCTTTTATTGGTGGAAAGCTCAGGTGAAATGGTAATCACATAGGTGTGGCACCTCATTTAATGCTGTGAGCTGCTTCCTACTGTCAGCACTACCAGCCCCCCTTTATGTGTCCCTATTTTTTGTTCTTTAAAGCATGCTATATAATTTGCTTATTTATTATGTTTCATGTTTATGTCATCCACTAGAATTTAAGTTCCATGAGTGTTTTGCTCTCTGATGTATTCCAAGAACCTACAAAAGCACCTGGCACTTAGAGGCACTCAGTAAGGTTTTAAATGAGTGAATGAAGGAAGAAAGACAGGAGGGAGGGAGAGACAAAGATGAAAGAAAGAAAGGCAGGTAGAGAGGAAAGGAAGTTGCTATTTACACGATGGTCTCTTCCTTATTACTATAACTAATATGACTTTCCCCTGCAAAGCACATACGTTTTGGAAACCTTATAGAAAGCAAACTCAAGCATTTTGAAGTTAATTTTCCTAGCTGTCATTATAATTATGGGTCTGGGTGTTAGGTGAAAAAGTTTTAATCCCTCTGTATTACACCTGAGAATCCCAATGCATTCATTTCCTAGAGCTGCTGTAACAGAGTGATATAAACTGGGTAGCCTAAAACACCAGAAACTTATTCTCTCACAGTTGTGGAGCCTGGAAGTCAGAAATCAAGATGTTGGCAGGGTCCTATTCCTTTTGAGGGCTGTGAGGGAGAAACTGTTCCATGCCGCTTCTAGCTTCTAGGTTTTGTCAGCAGTTCTTGGCCTTCCTTGGCTTATAGATGCATCACTTCAATCTATTCCTATTTTGTCATATGACCTCCTTTTCCCTGTGTCTCTTTGCCTTCATATGGCACTATGTGTGTGTGTGTGTATGTGTGTGTGTGTGTGTCATTGTCCAAATTTCTTTTTTCTTATAAGGATACCTGTTGTATTGGATTAGGACCCTAATTATTTCATCTTAGCTTGATTATCTCTATAAAGACCATGTTTCCAAATAAGGTCACCTTTACAGGTACCAGGGATTAAGATTTCAACATGTCTTTTTGAAGGGGGCATAATTCAGCCATACCACCCAACATTCCAACTGTTAACCTCAAGGAATTCTCTGTGCCTATAAAAGGGCAATCTCAGGGTATTTGCTGTGCAGCGGGAGCTCTAGCAGGAGCACCCTAACCAGAAGTGCCCTTCACAGCTGGCCACTTTTCCTGCTCCCATCCAAGATCCTGGGGCAGGGTAAGGCAGGTGAGGGCAAGAGGAAGGCTCTTCTGGGAATAGAAGAAGAAGATGCTTATCTATCCTGTACTCTGCTCGGCAATGAGTTACCTGCACACAGATGACAGCCTTAGAAGTGGTGTGCTCCAAGCATTTTGGATCTCGGTGACCCCAATCAATTAAACAAAACTGAGGACACATGTACAAAATGTGGGCATTAGTACACTATGAGACTTACATAAAATTAGAAAATTCACAAGGACTAAATAAAATAAGAACTGACATTTAGTGGTTTCTTCCCACATTCCAAAGCACTGTCTGGCTCATCCAGCAGCATTCTACTTGCATCCCAGTAGACACACACCTAGCAATGTGCTGGCAAATGTTTGACAACCAGTTCTCTGGGGATGGGTGGAAGTGGGAGGGAGCTCTGATATATGGCTTGTGCCAGTTTGCATGGTGTAATGACTCGCAACATGGCTGACTTCAGACTGCCAACATGAAGTCATTGAACATGGATTTGGGAAGAGATACCAACAATTCGCTCTTGCAAGCTGATGTAAGCTGATTCCAGTCACCACAGCAGCCAAATTTAAGATCTTCACGTTAGAGCAAGGGCTGGTTGGAAAACTATATAGCCTGCAGGCAAAATCTGGCTCACTGCCTGTTGTGTATAGTTTACCAACACAGTCTGTGGTTGCCTTCAAGCAACAACAATAGAGCATGTGGTCTCTCAGCCTGCAAAGCCTAGAATATCTGCTATATATCCCTTAACAGAAAGTTTGCTGACTCCTGCTATAGAGGACAAGAGACCAGAGACTGCCTGCAGCCTTTGGTTATTCATGCCTGAGTCAGTCTTGTGCTTGAGGCACAGTTTTTATCAGAGAGCTGCAATGCATGATAGTTGAGTTCTCCATCTCACTCACAGAAGCCTATACTGTTTTTCACTACAAAAGTAATATTAGGTTTTTTTAAAACTTAATTAGCTAACATATAGTACATCATTAGTTTCAGATATAGAGTTCGGGAATTCATCAGTTGCATGTAACACCCAGTACTCATCACATCACCTGCCCTCCTTAATGCTCGTCACCCAGTTACCCCATCCCCTCCCCACCTCTCCTCTAGCAACCCTCAGTTTCTTTCCCATAGTTAGGAGTCTCTCATTGTTTGTCTCCTGTGTTTTATTTTTATTTTTGTTTAGCTCAGTATGTCTTAGCAATTTTCAGTAGGAAAATGCTTTCTAAATTCCACATAATCAAGAGATCCAGAGCGATTGACAACTACCTGTTACTTCCCCACAGCCCTCTTACAGAAGGTGCTTGTTAGAGCACCTCCATGCAGGAGCTCAAGGCAGGATCAGAGGTCATTTGGCCTAAGGTGGCAGGGATAGGTTCTCTGTGCAGAGTGTGTGGAGGGAACTTTTTGGCAGACTTTCATGGCGATTTCTGGTCTCTAAGGTAATTTTCACAGTGCATTGGGTGATTGTCAATATCAATAATGAATATAATGCTGTGAGGAGGGCAGAGTGGGAATTATTATGCTCATTTCATAGATAAGGATAAATAGACTCCGAGACAAGGAACTTGACCAGTCACCCAGACTG